AGGTATGAGCTTCCTAGCTTCAAATAGCAAAAGTAACTTCTCCCAGTTAAGTAGGGTATTATCTGTTTTCCCTGTATGAATAAGGAGCGAGTGTTTGTATTTAAACATCGATTGGTGACATTTAAACATTGATTGATTGATTAAACATCAATTGGTGACAGCCAACATGGCTTCAATAAGGGCAAATCATGCCTGACAAATTTGGTAGCCTTCTATGATGGCGTTACACCATTGGTGGAAAAGGGAAGAGCAACAGACATCATCTACCTGGACTGGTGCAAGGAATTTGACACTGTCCTGCATGACATCCTCGTCTCTAAATTGGAGAGACATGGATTTGATGGATGGACCACTCGGTGGATAAAGAATTGGCTGGTTTGGCTGCACTCAAAGCTCCATGTCCAAGTGGCAACCTGTGAAGGGTGGCATTTCTCAGGGATTGGGACTGGGGCCAGCACAGTCTAACATATCTGTCGGCAACATGGGCAGCAGGAAGCCAATGACACCAAACTGTGTGGTGCTGTTGTCAAGCTAGAGGGAAAGGATGCCATCCAGAGGGACCTGGATAGGCTTGAGAGGAGGGCCCATGCAAACCTCATGAAGTTCCACAAGGCCAAGTGCAGGGTCCTGCATGTAGGTTGGGGCAATCCCAAGCACAAATACTGGCTGGGTGCAAAATGGATTCAAAGCAGCCCTGAGGAGAAGGGCTTGGGGGTGTTGGTGGATGAGAAGCTGAACGTGAGCTGGCAACATGCGCTGGCAGCCAGAAGGCCAACCAAATCCTGGGCTGCATCAAAAGAAGCGTGGCCAGCAGGGATTCTGCCCCTCGGCTCTGCGGAGACTCCCCTGCAGTGCTGCCTCCAGCTCTGGAGGCCCCATCATCAGAAGGACACGGAGCTGTTGGAGTGGGGCCAGAGGAGGCCATGAAGATGATCAGAGAGCTGGAGCTCCTCTGCTGTGAGGAGAGGCTGAGAGAATTGCGGTTGTTCAGCCTGCAGAAGGGAAGGCTCCGGGGAGACCTTAGAGCCCCTTCCAGTCCCTCAAGGCGCTACAGGAAAGCTGGGGAGGGACTCTTGATCAGGGGGTGGAGCCATAGGACAAGGGGTTATAGTTTTAAACTGAAAGAGGGGAGATTTAGATTAGATCTTAGGAAGAAATTCTTGACTGTGAGGGTGATGAGGTACTGGCCCAGGTTGCCCAGAGAAGCTGTGGCTGCCCCATCCCTGGAGGTGTTCAAGGCCAGGCTGGACGGGGCTTGGAGCAGCCTGGTCTGGTGGGAGGTGTCCCTGCCCAGGACAGGGGTTAGGGACTGGATGATCTTTAAGGTCCCTTCCAACTCTAACCATTCTAGGATTCTACGATTGTTACTAAACAAATCATGTCACAAGTAAGACCTCTGCAAAGCTGGATATCTGCTAGAATCATAGCTGTATGAAGACTTGTATAATTAACACAAAGGGAAGTGTTTTACGTAAAGCTGCAAAACAAGGGAAACGTTTTCACACAACAGAAGCACACAACTTAACAGGCAACTGAATCAATCTAATTGTTTGTGGCATTAGAAGAGAATACATGTTTGCTCTGAACCTCATCAGACCCTTCCATGGTTTATGTAAACCATTAAAAGAGCAGATCACGTCCCATTTTTTTTTCTGTGTTTTGTTTTTTTTTTTTTTGTCACATTATTGAATTACTGCAGCTCAGAGACAAGCATTGGGGCTTGCAAATTAAATGACAGAAGAAGGTGGACAGGAGGAATATTTCAAGAACCTGCAGTGTAAGTGACTGAGCCAACCTAGTGGCTTATTCTTGTTTGTTCCTTCCCTGCCTCTGTCCCCAAACTCACCTGAACAACCAATACACTTTTTCTACTTTCATCAGCTGTGTCAGCTGATTTGGTGACCTGAATCTCAGAGATTTACCAGACACTAGGAGCCGTGTTCCTTGAAGAATCACAGATTCACAGGGTTGGAAGGGACCTCTGGAGATCATCCAGACCAACCACCCCACCAGAGCAGGGGCACCTACAGCAGTTGCACAGGACAGCATCCAGGTGGGTTTGGAATGTCTCCAGAGTAGGAGCCTCCCCCCCCTCTCTGGGCAGCCTGTGCCAGTGCTCTGCCACCCTCAAAGTAAAGACGTTCCTCCCCATGTTAAGATCGAACTTCTTATGTTCAAGTTTGTGCCTGTTCCCTCTTGTCCTGTCACTGTGCACCAACAAAAAGAGACTGTTCCCATCCCCCTGACACCCTCCCTTTAAGTATTGATAAGCATTAATAAGATCCCCCCTCAGTCGTCTTTTCTCCAGACTAAAAAGACCCAAGTGCCTCAGCCTTTCCTCATAAGAGAGATGTTCCAATCCCCTAATCATCTTTGTAGCCCTTTGCTGGACCCTCTCCAGCAGTTCCCTGTCTCTCTTGAACTGGGGAGCCCAGAACTGGACACAATACTCCAGATGCGTTTTCACCAGGGCAGAGTAGAGGTGAAGGATGACCTCCCTTGACCTGCTGGCCGCACTCTTCTTGATACACCCCAGGACGCCATTCGCCTGAACCAGCTATGCCTACTCTTACAGTACGTACCACTCAAGACACATAGCGGAGCTCCCAAGAGTTAGGGTGCATTCTTTCCCATGAACTGCACTGAACAATTTGGAGACCATCAATAGCGTAGAGTAAATTTGCACACAAAGAAAACACTCCTTCAACAAGCACTGCACACTGGACAGAGTTGTATATTCATAATTCTATGAGACTAAATTGTCAACCACCACCTTAACCCAGAATTTCATACAGCCTTTTCAACTCTTTGGACCTATATCATAGAGCATTCTAGTTTCAAATACAGAAATCATGACCTCAATTCAATATTCTGCTGAAAGCTAGTATAGTGAAGACCAGCTAGATCCAACACGCTCACTGCAGATCATGCTACTATATTCTTTGTTAGTCAAAGGCTCGTGTATATCTGCTATTGTTATGGAACAATCGAGAGGTAGCAATGACATGAAGCAATGGTTAGAATGAGATGGAAGTTAAATGAAAGAGTGAGGACTCAGATACCAAAGCAAGATCTACGTGCAGATTGTACTTGCATGTATAAGATCACACCCCTCTCTAGGTGTTCCCAGATGAGGACCCAGATTTGGGAGAACCATGATTCACTAGCCAAGCTGTTCCTTCTCCCTAAATAAATTAGAGTTTAGAAGCAAACATGGACACTACCTCCACCTGCCCAGGGAAAAAAAAAAAAGAAACCAAAACACCTATTATTCTACCTCAAGGAGGGACACAAAGATATATTCCAAATATGCCCAACAGCACTAATACAAGATTAAGCCATTGATAATGCATACAGGTGGTGCACAGCAAATGCCCGCAACCGCTTATTGTGAAAGCGGTCAGTTTTGGGCCCCAGAATAACCCCATCCATCAGTCATTGGTGTATCATGGTAGTACAAGCATTATCAGAGCACTCCTCTCTGCCACAAGCTGAGGATGATGTACTACCTAAGGCCATACCAACAAGTGCAAGTACAAGAGATGTAGAAGTATGGCAAAATATGAAGTATTCAAACAATTTTTAAGTGAGCCAGCTTGGCTAACAGAAACATATTAGCAGCATAAAGTAAATTCACTTTTTGCTGCTGCATCAGGACTCTTTCAGCACTCTGGCCAGTCCGTTCAAAGCTTGCTCCAGCATGTTAACACTATTCCACTGCACAAACACACTAAATGACTTGCTCACAGAAAGGAAGTATGCTGCAACATATGGAGCTGAAGCGAAGTCTCCACAAGCGGACCACCTCACCTGCTGTTCTTCCACATTGTGATGTGCTCACCTTTTCCAAACTGACGGATGAAACTAACTCCATGCCAGTCCTTGACCCATTCTTATATCTTATTAATTTGTGGGGCCTGTGCTGGCACTACCAGTCCACTTGAAGCATTAACAAAGATGCCAAAATGCACAGGCACGTGGGGAATAGGGAAGGGATGATGCAGGAAAGGATGATAGAGGAAAACAAAAATAGGGGATTATGTAGAGATAAAAAAGGACTTAATTGGCAACCAGACTATTCTATAACTAAAGATCACTAGCAAGGATCTGGTGAGGAGACTGGTATGAAAGAGGAAAAAATCAGACTGTCACATTAAGATGTTGCACCAATAATACTCAAGAAGACATAATACTCTCCAAATTACCTAATAAACAGTTAAGAACTTTAAATGATGTTGCAACATCTCCAGAACACAAACCACCTGAACTTAAAATACAAAAGCTACGTACCATGCAACGTAATAGTGAAAAATCCACTCTCTCCTGTATCAAGACTACATGCCTATTGCCACACCCTTAAAAATTTATGCCACAAAACTTGTTAATATAGTAAGTAATAAGAATGCAAGACTCTAGACAGGCTATGGGGTCAGGTTCAGCACAAATCCCCCTTTTTTTCCCTGCTGGTTGCTTTCTCAGAGGGATTTTGTCAGTCAGGATGAACTCAAAGCCAAAAGCCGCCCCTGCTGCAGAGATCCCAGCCCCAACTGCTGGCCCACACACCCTTCCCGAAGGGCTGCCTGGAGAGGGCTGCTGGCCCGACATGGACCCGATGTTTTAAGAACAATGGGAAATACACTGTTAATTACGGAAAGAAGACGTCGGGGCACAGCCTGGGGGACGAACAATGTAGTCTTTTTTTCCCCCGGAAAAAGCAGGCCGGAGCTCGGTCACTGACACCCCACAGGCGGCCCCCCCCCCGCTACAGCGGTCTGCGGCACCCTCCTGCTGCTGTCGAGCAGCCCAGGCTCTGCTCCGCGCCTTCACCGGCCACGAAAGGAGACTGCCAGACTGAGAAACACCGTCCGACCAAGCGAGGTCACCCGCACCGCCACAGGACCCACCAGCGCCCTGGG